TGCCAAACGAAGCCAAGGGTTTGTGATAACGCAAATGTGGTATCTTGTTATCAATGGAGTTCGTCCGACTAAGAGAGGTGATCAGGGGCACCAAATACCTTCAATCAAAACGTGTGTTAGATACTACTCATTTGGTTATGTAAACAGTAATTTACTAGTCGTGCGATAAATACTCTTTAGCTGATCAATAACTTCAAAGCAATTGTTAGTTGTAGCAAATGATTAGAGTGATACATAATTATATAACTTCACACCTGTCTTCCATCGGGATGGGCAGGTACTATGGAACGGCAAAAGCGATGATGACAGGGTATGAATATTAAAAATCTAATTAGTCCGTCAGTTAGGCAATGAAAAAATAATAGACGCGTATTTTTCTATTTCATCGTATAAGAAAATAAAATTTAGACAAAACGAATCAAAGTTTAGGAGTGGGAGCATGCTACATTATTTTTGAGTATAAAATGTCAATAAAATCAATACCTACTTATATCGTCTAAATTATTTGACTCAAAAAGTACTGTATGCATTTAATTCAAAATTGGCAGGAATATTACTAACAGATTTGTACAACATATAGGCTACATATTATAACGTTATCACCTAGAAGGGAGGAGCTGTGAATCACTATTCCACGCAGACAAAGTCGCGGACACGGCTAGTTACCTATAAGGCTGAAGAAGTTGTTTGTTTGTTCATTTGTTTGAACGCGCTAAGCTCTCATATTACTTTTGCTTTAAAGTCTAACTACTTTATTATGAGTCAACTAGTTTTATGTCGAGCTAACATGAGTAAATGCTTTGTAAACTGCATATCTATCTATATTGCACCGTATCTAAGAAAATTATCAGAATTAATTGAACGCACACAAGTTTATCTTCTAGCTATCGTTTATCGTATCTCAACGCAAATATGTTGGAACATAATTCGTTTCTTTATGCCGTTTTTAATGCAAAATAAATTCTTTTCATTTATTTATTTCTTAGGATTCTCAAAAATCAACTGTAATTTTGAATTTGTACGTTACTCACAAAAAATTATGAAGTTTTAAGTACCTACGGATTTTTCTGAATATATTTTTTAATCAATATATTAATATACTTGGTGTAAGCCGGGAATTGAATTCACCCAAGGCTACTCGACAGACGAAACTTTCAAGTTAATAATTAAAAAGTTTAATAAAATATCTACTTTAAGACATTTAATGTAAGATGGAGTCGATGGACGAATATTTTGAACGACAAAACATGAAGTAATGAATGGTATTCATGAAACTATCATACAAATAGTGATGGCATAATAAAAAACTGAATTATAAACGTACGTCAACATATTGAAGTTGAGAGCAATAGATTTTTTGTTTCACCTACCGTCAAGGTTGCGTTTGCGGAGCATATTTTAAGAGCCAATGAAAAGTGTGGTACCTACGTCATATATGTCCGTTTTTTAGCATTTACATAAAAACCCGATCATTACAGCAGTAATAGTAGTGTAACGAACATTTTTATATGATAATAGTAAACATTATATTGAACTATATGCTGTTCTGGCAGGCTGACGTAAAATAACATAATATCTGAACTTTCCCAAAAGATACTATTTTTAACATAACACCATCACGCCTTTTATCCCCGAAAGGGTAGGCAGAGGTTCACATTTCGGCACTTAATGCCACTGCACAATGTAACACCCACTTTTCACTATTTATGTTATAAGTTCCATATAATAGGGGGTGAGCCTATTGCCATATACCGGGCACATTTCCAGACTCCTTGCTAAAACTGAGAATTTTAAAAACCTAGTAATACTTTGCCCGACCCGGGAATCGAACCCGAGACCCCTTGCCCGGCAGTCGCACTTGCGACCACTCGGCCAACGAGGCATACTATTTTTACCCGATATAATAATAATTATATACTGCTTTTTATATTTGTAAATGTTTTGTTTTTATAATACTATATGTGATCAAATATTCGAAAACATACTATCCAAGTAAAGAAAATAAATTATATAGATTATGAGATTATATAGTTAATATTCAAAACGAAATAATCGCAAAATCGTAAATTCGTCATAAAATAACGCAATAGTTGATGGTTATTTAAGAATAAAGCATTGCTGTTTCAAACTAAATATTAAGTGATTCATTTAAGTAGGTAAGCAGAAATAGTGAAGTGCTTAAAACGTCAACTGAAGAAATCCTATGATTCGTGTTCATGGTGTGACTGTAAAAAAGCCGCATCAAAATCCGTTGCGTAGTTCTAAAGATCTAAGCATACATACGGACAGACAGACGGCGGATAGCGACTTTGTTTTATACTGTGTAGTGATACAAGATTTAAACTTAAATTTTTATACATTTTTACACTTCTAACTGAGTATTCATTAACTTCTTTTTCATGCTGACTATGTAAATAATTTCTAGTGTATCTATCACAATTGTTTACCATCAATCAGCATCACATTGGAATGAAACAATCAGACAGTACTTATTTTCTATCGATGAATGAAATGATCAATCAAATTTTATTAAAATACTATCTTCTGTCCGCGACCTCGTACGGGTAATCCCGTTTTTTATGTCTTAAGAACCTTCTCCTAATAATAACTAATACAAAAAATATTTAATGAAATCGGTCCAAACATTCACGCATAATGCCGTGATTAAGGCAAAAAGGGATTCATTTTTATATATATTGATAATAATGAATTCAAATGTATCCAAAGCTTCGAATGAGAAATGGACGCCCATGATTACATATCTTCACAGCGATAATCCTACAGAAGTAGTCCAAGTACGCCCGTTTTAAACTGCTAATCAACACTGAGCTCTGCTGTCATTGATTAATTGAGACTTCTCCTTGATGAATCATAATATGCGCCGTCTACATGCAACTTGCAATTACATTGTCAATACCACTAATCCTCCTAATCAGTTTGTGTATTTATTTGTATCTAACGTTTTATTTGTATGTGATGAGTCCTGGGCCTGGTAATTAGAAAAATACTACGTCTTAGGTACGATACATTTCTTTTTTCCATTTAAAATTGTAACTAAGCGCTAGTCGAGCGAGACAATATTCTACTCTATAAAAAGTGTAAACTGTGAAAAATGTAGTAAACTTTCATATTAACGTCAGTCCTACATTGAGTTTTCTGTTTTTTCTATTACCTTTTCTTCTTAGTTCTTGGGTGCTTCTTTGTTCTCATAATTTGAGCAGTATCAAACCGATAGACTATTAAATGCATACATCTATTTTTCACTTACTGTTTCTATCTTCTGCCTATATCAGACAGTCCTCTGTATAAGATGTCAAATCATTTTCGATTTTTGCGGAGAATAATCATCTAATGACTACTCCCGACGTACTTCAACACTAGAATATATAATATCTTTTGTACAGTACAGTTACTCTATAGTTATATACTTAGATACTAGAGGGGCAGACATCAAGGAAAATACTTCAGATGTAGACTTGTGTTACCTTAACAACATAATACGACTTGGAGAAGAAAAACGTACAGCTAATAAACACTGTCCGATAGGATCCATACAATATTTCGAGATTCATAGCTTATATGTTGAAACGCACAGTTATATCCAAATTGTGAGTTTGTATTAATATTTTTTTATGAGATGAGCTGATAAACGAGCTGAGGGATCCCCTGATGGTAAGCAACCGGCGTCGACCAACACGCGGAACACCAGAGTCGTTGCAAGTGCGTTACCGGCCTTTTCAAGATTAGGAATTTGAGGATTATTGTGATTTAAGGATTGGGGAGATTGGGGAAGGGGGGGAGGAGGGTAATTGGGCCTCCGGTAACCTCACTCAAACGACGAAACTTAGGCATAAACCCCTCCAACAAAACCATGAACCTAAGTCAACTCAAACAGCTTTCTCTCAGTCAATATTTCTAGCGCAGAGCGCAGAATGCCAATGTTTTCTTAAGTATTTGGTTTAAGTAGGATATCTTTATCTTTCCGAGAAATCTCAGTTCCGTCATCATAATTCTTGGTAATAAATTATCAATAAATATGTTCATATAATAAACCGGTTCGCTTCAATCATAATATCGAGAATAGTAACAACAAATACTCGTTGTACGAAAAAACGCGGAGTGTTCATAGATAGAGTTCATTATAAAAATACGAACGACTTTATGAATTTATTAAAAACATGACTATCCTAAGTTTAGCACCATTATAAATTTAGTCATTGGAAGACTATTTATGTTTACCCTTTTTATATATATACCCGCTTATAAACATGAATTAAACAATAATTAAATCAATGTATAAACCCCATGTAAATATACTATTAAGAGATTTTCATGGTTCAATATTATGTATGTTAATAATATACAGTTAAATTAGATACCGTCCAAGGATACATCTCCGCCAGCAATTCTCATCTGTGTTGTGATAGCAGTAGACCGCTGTACGAGTGTACATACATATATAGATAATTATCTAATTGTAGCTCTCTTTACATGACCGATAGGTAGGTACATACATACTGGGTAATTTTACAGTCCGTTTATACGATCGCGCTTAGAAATGATAAAGGGTTCTAAAAATAAGGAGAATATTTACGTACCTGAGGTGTCTAAATTAAATTCTTACCTGTCTAGATAAAAATTGCAATTTAAGTACCTACCTATAACTTATAATCTATCTCCGGCAAAGGCCACCTATCTAGGAAAACTTGTTACACTTGTTTCACTTTGCTTTTTTATCGCCAGCCGAGCTGATAACATAATTAGCGATAAAACTTCTAATGGTACCATCCCACATAATTGAATAATAACCAAACTAATTATTTATAAAGGATATCCCAATAATAGAAGTAAGTACTTATTTAAATAAAAAAATAACAAAGAGATAAAATTATAATACTGGTGATTAGCAAGTTTGAGTGTCTGCTCGCTAAAGAGAATGCAGATAAGCGAATACACTGGACTGCAAAACTTATCAATGGCGGCCGCACTCAAAACCGCGAAGTTAGTCGCGCTGCGGACAACGAAGCGAGTTGACGTCCGAACAGTTAATCACCAGATTACGTCACGCCTTTATGGTCGGGTTTTCCACGACCGTCACAGAGAACGATAAACAGTCTGTGTGAACAATGTGGAACGAAGGAGACCCTCGGCGTGAGTTGCCGAGCCACGAGGTGGCCATGGGCCGCTCTCCCGGAGCCGAGGTGGTGGTGCTGGACGACCGGGTGATCGAGGCGGCGTCGCGCGCGCAGCCCGGCGTCACCAACATCAACGTCACCAAGTCCTCGCGCCTGCACATCGGGCCCAAGTTTGTGTCGGTCACCCAGAACATCGACAACACCGAGGTGGTCAAAGGTGAGCATTTAATCACATCTATGTAAACAAAGCGATTTCCTCAGCGTGCTGTTTGCCGACCCGCTGTGTTCACATCCACATATTGCGATATTTACACATATCGGAGCTTGCGCACATTAATTTTATTTATATTGGCACCACCTTGTTATGATAACCACAAAATGCGTCCGTTTTGCCTGCATATTATTATGTTTGTCGTATGCACAATCCTTTTCTGAAGAAGCTATGCCGTCATGTTTAGCGAAATAATTGGTTCATATTTTCCTGCTTTAGGTAATAGTTTCTTCATAAATATTCGACATAATATTGTTTACAGAGCTGAGATGAGTTTAACGATAACATTTTTTTAATGATTAGCAAACTCGTATTCGGTTCTTTTTTGAGCCATGAAGAATTAGGTATGTTTTGTTGTAGTTTTTATTTTGTATCTCTTGAGAAAACATGGAATAAATGATGTGTTGATTTACTACTATAGATAAAGGAATCATAAATTCATAACACATAAGATACAATTAAGTGTGTTGATATGAGTATAAACGTTTTTTAATAGTTTCTTATTTGTATACTTTGATTTCATAAAATAATAATTGCTTCGTCTCATTGTCTGACCTTGACAATAACATCTGATACCGAGAAGTTGATACGCTCTAACCTAAGCTAACTAAGTGTTTACCCACTACATTTTTAGGAACCTGTACTTGTTAATTTAATTGTATGCGTGTTTAAAATCATTTTGGATTAATCTAAAGAACGTAGACACAATGTAAAGAATCTTATACTGTGTAATATAAGGCTGAGTTACAAACCACGGAGCTGTTTTTGACACGGGTGTGCAACACGCACCACTTGCATGTCCAGTGCGTATGAACGCACCTTTAAATGTTGAACTAAACAAAGATCAAAGATGGCTGCGTGGTCACGTCACACGGGGAAAACATTAAGACAAGACGAGCAAGAGTTATAACAATGGTTAAATAACCATCATCTTACGTCTATAGAATATCGATTAGATTTTACCTTATCGCCATAGTACCCCGGGAATACCTAGGTCATACAAACAGATAAACTTATTAGCTGAATTAGCTTTACATCTGATTGGACGCGGCTAAAGAATAGAGATGGCTCAAGTGTTTTTCAAGAAAGCGCCTTTAATTAAACTCGCCGTCGCCGTCATCATTTAAGATGACGGCTACGTTTCATAAATGCTTCCCCAATAAAAGTAACTATTACTGATTTGCGTATAGGTAAGTAGGTACAAGAAGTAATTAAAAATGTCAATCAAGTACCATAGAGTCACACCTTTGATCTACAAGCGTAGAGTATTAACAGTATGGACACGTATGCTATACCTATATAAAAACATAATTTTAACTAATTTTTCTCTTCACATGTTACATTATAAACCAAAAAATTTAAAAATAATCGAAAATCAAGTAGGTTGAGTAAATCACTAGTCAAAATCATCACACTTGAAATCAAATTTGATTTGGTTAAGAAAATATCAGGGGGTTAGTCCGTCAAATATGCAGTTACAAAATAAATGAATAAAAACAAGTATGACGTCATGGTACTAAAGTGCATAAGTGTGAGAGAGACGGGTTGATGTTGCGCCTACACATTTTCCTTTAAGCAATCATGAGTGTTCGTAAAAAATTGCACTAACATAACGTAGCTTCACGCCTTATTCTTCCTAAAAAGACAGGCACAAATCTACAATTTTTCTTTCGGGACATACAAAGATATAAGACAAATGGTAAGATTTGTAGTTCAATATTTTCTCTAAGTTTGGGGAATTAATGATTCTGTTTCTTTCATTCTTTCATTCTTATAGTAGCTATAGATACAAATCTTAAATAGCTGTTGAATTCAAGTGAGAATTCACTCTTCACTAACGAAGTAGTCTTCGTTGCCGCAAAACACAGTTTTATAATACATAATTAAATCCTAAACAGGTAGCCTCGTCCGTTTGAATTTTTACACTCACTACCATGTACAGGACTTTTAAAATCCAGTCTCGGGTTAGATAAAGTAACATTCACCTTACCTAACCAGGTTTATGGTGACCAATTGCTCCTACAAAACGTGGAGTTGTCCATAGTGTGTATCATATCGGAGTCGCGGAAATCCTAGCGGGTTACCGGGGCTCCGGCTCGACATGCAGGAGAAGGCATGAAGGAGTAGGAACGGGGTGGTTTTTAGTCAGTAAGAGCAGACTCTAGAGTGTCAGAACACTAAGCAAGATTTAAGTATATAGGAAAAATGTCATCAATGTATCAGACAGTAATCTTAGGTAATAGGTACATACATATTTAAGGTTGAAATCGTCATGATTTCTTGCTAATGTATTTTTCAATCTATTGTTAACAGACAATATGCGAATTGTTTTTGTCATTTAGGTACTATTATTTTGTAGTCTATCAAAAGAGTGAAATGCAACAATGATGATTCTAACACCCTTTTATACTTACTATTAATACACATACAAACACTCGAGTTCTAAATAACAAATCGAAGCTATTACTTACAAAGATTTTCCAATATCGTAAATCTCAATATACATACTCAGCATGAGATACAATTATTTTTATTTGGATTCACTCACATTTTAACATACTCTTTAAAAACGTAAAATTGAAAAGGGGCCAAATGATGTGACTACTGCTTAGTAGACTCATTACAAAAGTAGACTCAATTGGATAGTTTCCTAAATTTTATTTCAATGTCCGTCTGGTAGATTAATTTAAAACATTAGACACGTATTTTTCTTTTCTCACAAAATTATATACTTTCGACGATATATTAATATCGTGTGACATCACAAAGTGCTACAAAATGTAGCACTTGACGTAACGACCTCCCACTCATAAACTTAACTCCATTTTATCTAAGTATTGTAATTTTATACGAGAAAAAAAAATGCGTGTCTAATATTCTTTAATTATCTAACTGACGGACTAATAAGATTTTTAATATTTATACCCTGGCAACTACCCTATTGTGACTCCTCTAGTGTTCCGGGTGATGGACACCCGGGTGGCGTTGATCGCTTACTATTAGGATTTCTATCGTTTGTCCCATAATCCATAAAAAATACTTTTATATAGAAACTACAGAAGGCGGTAAGATGAGCGTTGTAGGGAGCGAGTTTTCATATTTAGGTTTTTTTAATTAGTCAGCGTGGATTGTATACAGTCTAGGTATGACTGGCAAAAGACAAAGTACTTACCTAATAAGGAACTAAAAACGTCATTTAATACAGCTGTTGACCTAAATCAATAAAAGTTATCGTTTCTGTCCGCAAATTAGATGGAGCTAATAAAGAAAATAGAACTGTCGCTCCAGTAATGTCAGAGAAGAATATTTAGAGATATGATAACAACAATCAGTGTATTGGTCACAATACCTTTTTTTTATGAGATAAGCCGGTGAACGGGCAGACGGATCACCTGATGGTATGCAATCGGCGTCGCCCATGGACACCCGAAACACCAGAGGCGTTACAAGCGCGTTACCGGGCTTTTGAAGGTTAGGAGTTCGGGGATTGGGGAGACTGGGTATTTGGGCCTCCGGTAACCTCACTCACACGACGAAACACAACGCAAGCGTTGTTTCACGTCTGTTTTCTGCGAGGCCGTGGTATCACTCCGGTCGAGCCGGCCCACCTTACGATCTCCAACCTGCCCGCCAAGAGTAGAGACCATGCCTTCTTTATATGTTCTGTGGTAGAGATTAAAGCCCTATTTTATGTCCATCAGAGGACTGTCTCAGGCTGTTACGTTGAGATGTTGTGGTGTATAACCAGTTTTTTTTTTTGAGGGGGGGAAATCATCCAATGAAAGTCATCCAATGGAAGTCCCGCCCAGGTGAGGCGAGAGGGAATGTCACTCTTACTGACTACAAACCACCCCGTTCCTACTCCTGCACTTCGAGCCGGAGCCCCGTTAAGTCTTCCGCGGCTCCGTATCGGCATCAACCTTGTGGTGGTCTGATGGCTCCTTGAGGCTGGCACGGAACGCGACGCGCCGTACGCTCGGGCCTGGTTCTGGTCGGGCGGCGAGTCACCCGTCCTCGCCGTCCGCAGGCCCGTGCGTGTAATCAGTACGATATTAATAAACTAAATACAACTCAAGACCAATTGAAGAAAAGAGCGTATCCCTTTTTAAAAGGCCGGCAACCTCCTGTGACTCCTCTGGTGTTGCGGGTGCGCCCATGGGCGCCATAGATCGCTTACCGTCAGATGATCCGTCTGACCGTTTGCCTTCTATTTCATAAAAAATTTAAAGATACTTAAACACTTTCAATTGTCGATCTACCACAATTGTCTCGATGGTCTTGTATCTTGTTGATCAAACGTTGCTATTAACTACTTCCTATCTGTCGTTTTCCGCGTCGCGTCGAGGAAAAATATGAATCGGGTTTTTTGGTTGCGAAATTCTCAGAAAATATACTTTAGATGTCTGAATTATTATATTAGCGTATGCCGAATACATAACATTAACATAAAATTACTCCTTTTAGTCGCTGTTAGCCGCGTTGCCCGCGTTCCCGTCGGATAAAAAGTAAACTATTTGACCATACCTTCCGCCATTTTGACGTGAAAGAGGACAAACCAAACAAACAAACAAACTTCCGCATTTACAATAGTAGGTAGTAATAGTAGGATGTGATAATCACTTCAATTCACTTCACACACTTCTCACAATTTGTGAGCCACTATGTAGAAGAGGGGAAAAAGACAATTCTTATAATCAATTCAATTCTGGATTCCATGTTTTAAACACTAGAAAACCCGAAAAATTGTAGTGATGCTTTGTTCCACCCGGGAATAGAACATTTAAGTCCATTGCTCGCTATGTTGCTTGTGGCCACGAGCCACCCAATAAAGAAACGCAATATATTGTACCATAAATACTTATTGGAAGTAAAAAGAATATGGTCAATCAATATCCGTATCATCACTTCGAGATGATTCTCGTTTTGATACAATATGATGCATCACA